TATATATTAATATCATTTTTTGGGTTGAAAATTATAAGATTGAAAACATATTGGTAAGAAATTGAAATTGTGTTTTTGTTTTTTTGCATGGACAATACTTTTATTTAGTTTATTACGTACAATTAACTGCGTTTACATTATTTTTGCATTGATGTTTGGGCCTCTGTAAGCACACAGGCTTTCTTTTTTTAGTATTTTGAATTATTTCTTTTCGATTTTTGTCCATTATAGTATACGGTATTTTGTCATTATTTTGTTTGTCTTTCTCTAATTATAATTCATTTTCATTTGGAAATTTTTTGTTTGATTAATTGAAGAACCAGTGTCGTTTATTTAAAAATGTGGTACTATTAATAAACAGTGGCTATGAATTGTCATACATGAATTATTAGTTAATCTATAAATTTTAAAAACAAGAGTAATCAGAGCAGGTCCCACAGTTGCACCTGCTTTGCTTAATCCAATAATTAAGATCTAGTTAAGCGACACGTGTGTTTGTCCACTAAAAACGTTGATTGAAGTATCTTGATGCGTTATTAGAACAAATACACCATTAATACAGTATATAATAATCACTACTAATTTGACCAAATTATTACTCGTCGATAAAAGGAAGATGCAACTACTTTTCTTGTTGTTGATCTTGTGTTTCTCGAATCCTATCCAACTATCGCATTTTATTGTTTAAGCTCGTTAACTTCTAATCCATTATGATTTTTAATTGTAATTTGCATAGCTATAACGAAGTGTTCTTTTCTCATTGTTTATACTTGGTCACTCGACGATTATAACCAATTTTTTTGGAAATTTGTTAACAGTTTTGTAATTAAATTAATTTATGATCCCGCAATCTAAATCTACCACACTTTATTTCGTTTGAATGAAAATAATAGTAAGATTCAACAGATGATATTAAGATTCACAAATGAAAATCGTAAAAGTCCTCTAAGTGTTATAATTTTGTCACATAGGTCCATTTAGTTAGTTTGTGAGTCGTAATTTTCTTTATGATTATTGAGCCAATAAACCCAAAGTATTATTAGTTTTGTTATAATAAAGGTAATTTGGATGTAAGAAAAATCCTTTTAATAATTCTGATAAAGACTATTTAGTGATAGGCCGTGGCTAAGAGAAGAGGGGCCCAAATGACAAAAATTGGAGTAGTGTATGGGTCCTACAGTTTATAATCGAAATAGCTATTGTATACGTAATCATATTGGGCTTTTCTTCTCAACCAGTGGGCCCTGCCCGAGGCAAGCTTTGTAAATTTTATTGTTTAGTAAAAAAAAGCACCGCGTGTTGTTTCAATTTCATAAATGTCAACTACTTGTCGTTTTTAATGGACGATGGTGCTTTTGTTTCAATCGGATTTGTTTTTCAAAACAACGATCTTCACATCGATACATGCCTCTGGATTTGTATTTTATGTATGTAACGAGGCCAGATAAATGAGTGTTTATATATATAATCCATTGATTCCTTATTTTAGTTTTTAACCATTTAGCAACTATCCTCTATATTGAAAAGTTTGACGCCTAATCAACAACATCCGTGACTAATTAAAATTGGTTTAAGTTTAAACCACTTGACGTAGACGAGCTTATAGTTAGAAGTTTGTATTCGCAATTTACTATCGTTGTATTGATTTACATATAATCCGTTGACGTAAACAAATTTTTTTTTTGGCATCTGTTAAGAAAAGTGACATTGATATACATTCACATTTTTTTAATACTTGGCCATTCGAGACGTAAAGGTGGATACATATAATTTACTAATTTAGCAACGAAAGTCACAAAACACTTTACCCAAAAAAAAAAAAAAAGTCACAAAACAGTTTTGTGGTGATATTTATTTTCATATAAACGGACAATTGAAAAACATATTATCTCCACCGTAAATTTTTTGTACTTAGGCACAAATGTATCTATCCATTATCGTGACATGGTTCATAGATGATGAAAAAATTTCCAACTATAATTTTTTTTCCAAAAAATATGATAATATAGTTTATGATTTATTAGTTTTGAGTGTAAGAAAAAAAAATCATTCTATTGACTATTTATTGGGTCAAATTATAATTAAGTTATGGAGTCAACTAAATCAATATGTTTTGAGTAACTCATGTATTTGATTAGAATTTATAAATGACTAATCCAACGACATACCAAAAATTTATTGATTTGCAATGTACAAACATAAACAAAACTTGAATAAAATTTCAAAACACATAATTGAAATATCAGCTATTCAAACTTTTGACAACTCACGTTTCCAATAATACTCAAATAACAATGAAAATATGGTATGTGTCAATATTTCGTGGATCAAAACCATAAATCAAGAAAATTGAATAGCTTGACTATATGGAAACATCAATATTATGTAAGAGATTCTGAAAATTGAATAACTTGAGTATATGGAAACATCAATTATTCTATAAGAGATTCTTCAAATTGAATAAAAATCAAATCGATACCAACTTAATTCCATAAATTGGTACAAGCCCATAAAAGGCAGGGCCTTAAAAAGGTAACAAATCTTGTATTAAAAATCACACTCCAAAAGATCGACGTGTAGAGAGAAGATCAAAACCCAAAGATACTGACGCGTGTAATTATTGAATTGTGATTGGTACACATAGGAGATCCTACGTGGTCCCCACAGTGCCTATATATATATATATGTAGACGCCTCTTTCGCTACCAAACTCTTAACTTGGAAAATATTGTTGCCCCTTTTCTCGCCCAAAAACCCTAATCTCTCTCTGTTCACTCTCCCACCCAAAGCAGCTATGACAGATCTAATGGTTCCGAGCAAGCGACCACGAGCCCCGAGCTTCTCCGATATGCATCCCGGGTACTCGGACGAGACTCCCGCCGCATCCTCCGATTCGTTACCGGGGAAGGAGATCGGTGAGGCTGAGGTCAAGAATTTTCTCGAGATTTGCCGTTTCTGTAAGAAGAATCTTCGTCACGACGAGGACGTCTTCATGTACGGGTGAGTTGTTGTTTTTTTTCATTGGATCTAATTGGGAATGCTTATTTGTGTGTGGAATTGATTTGAGAATGAAACAGTTGGATCGTTACTCATAGTTAGTGAATGGTAATAAGATTCGTCTCTCTTTTTGGTGTTGTAAACGCAGCCAATTTGGGGCATTCTGTACAGAAAATTGCAGAGCAAAACAGATGGTGTGCGACATCTTTAGGCGTTCATCGCTAAAGATCGCGGAAGCAAAGAAAGGAAGAATGTGTGGTGGGGCCAAAAAGAAACCAAAAGAGAGTAACACACCACCGCGGTTTTTCATCTGATTTGTCGTCCATGTTGAATACGTAAGATGTGTGCAAAGTGCAATAGAGCCAGTGTCTCAAATTAGCATCGGCATTATTTGATTGGTCGATCAGCTTTCTCTATCTTTTCTTGTAGGACCTTTCTTCATTGGATATGTACGTACAAGTGTTTTAGGCTACTTGAGAGCCATGGCAGTCTCTGATTAGTCTTCATTTTATATAAATAAAGAAAATTCTATGTTTTGCCATTTGGTGATTTTATCTGCCTTTGAAATTTGTCGACTTTGTGATTCTTGTTTTACAAACATAACAAGAGTACCGGTGAATTGAAGCCCATTGGTTATATAAAGTGGGTAATTAGAGGTCCGTTGAGTGGGTCTAGTAGATTGGGGACTATTGTATTTTCAAGGCTTCTCGAGTCACATTTTTATTTGTGTGAAACCAACCTCTAAAGGCCTAAGCCCTACTAACCTATCTGTTTAATAGAGCCCTACCTACTCCTTTACGACCGCTGGGGAAAATGTTCCCCGGTTTGCATTTCATACTACTCAAAACTAACAAAGTATCGGTATAAAACATTTAACAAATTAAAAGGTTGTACTTTTGGACCGTAACTAACAAGTATTTGCTGCTAAATCTACGACCTTGTCTAATTTGGTAGTTAGTTTATGCGCGATACTCAAATTTTAGAGATTT